AGCTTGCAAACACAAGTTCTTCAAGTTTTAAAAGCTTGACCCGCGCGGCCCGCAATTTGGGCCGCGGGCTTTAACAATTTCTATAAAGCAGAACCATAAATCTCTAACTTACTCCTATGATTAGCCTTAAGCACGACTGTTATGAGTTGTAAAAGAGAGTGCGCAGGTAAACGAATAACGAGACTGTGACTGAATGAATCTGAGAATACAATGAATGCGAGAACTGATGTAGGTTAGCCTAGCTAGGAGGAAACCTCGGGCGAGCGAGGTTGGGTGCAGGTTTGGCGATGGAAATGCCGAAGGCGACGCGAGGAGCTTTTTAGTGCTCGTGGGACCGGGTTGTCGAGCGAAGTTGCCGTGGGCACCGTCGGATCCATCCCGTAATTCAAGAAGAACGGGGAGTGATTAGTCGTGCTCGATGGTGCGTTGTTGAAGGCAAACTCCAACATGGCGAGGGAATCTTCCCATCGTGCGGGGTCGGGGCAGTTTGTCCGTATCAGCTGCTCCATCGTCTGGTTGGTTCGCTCGGTTTGTCCGTCCGTCTGTGGGTGGTAGGCCGATGAGAACTGTAGCTTCGTGCCGTACTGCGCCCATGTTTCCTTCCAAAACTTGGATGTAAACTTCGGGTCCCGGTCGGTGATGATCGCCGAAGGGATGCCGTGTAGTCGCACGACCGTTGAGATGAAGAGGCGCGCAGTTTCTTCGGCTGTGATCGTCGTTCGGCATGGTGCGAAGTGCGCCATTTTCGTGAAGCGATCGACGACGACGAGGACAGCGTCGTTGCCGGACGGCCCAGCTGGCATCCCCGTGACGAAATCCATCGTCACCTGTTGCCACGGTCGTTCGGGTGGCTCGAGGGGTTGCAGCAGCCCAGCTGGTCGCTGTCGTGTCGATTTCATGGCTTGGCACACCCTGCATGAGGACACGTAACGCTGCACGTCGTTAGAGGAATCGGGCCAGTAATATTGACGGTGCAGTAATTTCTGGGTTTTATCAACCCCGAAGTGTCCGGAGTAGTTCGAATCGTGGACCTCCTGGATGAGGAGTTCACGTAGCAGCCGGTAAGCGGGGACCCAAATCCTGTCGGTGCCGGCTTTTAGGTAATAATCCCCCTTCTGCGTCGTGGCCTGCTGATGATTTCCTGTCGTGAAGAACGGGTCCGTAGTGTAGCCGTGGGTGAATAGTCCTGTAAGTAGCGGGTTCGAATGGGTGATCAGTACAGCAGCGGATTGTACGGTCGGTCTGGTCAGGGCGTCGGCGATGTTATTCGCCCCTTTCTTGTACCTGACGCGGTAGGTGAAGTGGCTCTCCATGTAATCCAGCCACCGAATTTGTCGCGGGTTGAGGTTCGGTTGAGCTCGCAGGTACTGTAGGGACTTGTGGTCCGTGCGCACAGTGACGTCGGCGCCCACCAGGTAGCATCGCCACAGTTTAAACGCGTGGATTATGGCGAGCATCTCCTTGTCGTGGATCGGGTAGTTGCGTTCGGCAGCTTGCAGCTTGCGTGATTCGTAGGCGATCGGCTGCAGCCCGTTCCCGAAATCCTGGAGAAGCACTGCTCCGATGGCGAAATCAGAGGCGTCGGTTACGACTTCGAACGGCTTCGATGGGTCGGCGATGCGCAGCACAGGAGGGGAAACGAGAAAATTCTTGAGCTCCTGGAAAGCCACCTCTGCTTCCTCCCCCCACACGAAATTCTTGTCCTTGTGCAGCAGGTCGGTCAGCGGGCCGGTTATCCCCGCCATATTCGGGATAAACCGCCGGACGTAATTCACGAACCCCAAAAAACTCTGGAGCTCCGTGACATTAGTCGGGGCCTTCCACTCCTGTATGGTTTTAATCTTCGCCGGGTCGATTTTGATGCCGTCGCGGGAGATAACGTGCCCTAAAAACTCCAACTCCTGCTTAAAAAACTCGCACTTAGAGCCCTTGGTGATGAGCCGGTTCTCTTGCAGCCTCTGAAAAACTGCGTCCAGGTCGCGGAGGTGTTGCTCCCGTGTCTTGCTAAAAATCAGGATATCGTCCAAATAGACGATGACACATCGGTCTAGAAGATCGCGAAAAACCCTGTTCATGGTCAGTTGGAATGTCGAAGGCGCGTTCGTGAGGCCGAAAGGCATCACTGTAAATTCGTAACTCCCGTAGCGTGTACGAAACGCGGTCTTGTGACAGTCGTCGGCGAAGACCCGAATCTGGTGGTAACCGCCACGTAAGTCGATTTTCGAGAAGTAGCGAGCGCCGCGAAGTTGATCGAGAAGGTCGTCGGTGCGTGGGATTGGGTAGCGAGATTTGATGGTCACCCGGTTCAACGCGCGATAATCGATGCACATGCGAAGCCCGCCGTCCTTCTTTGGAGTGAACAGAATCGGTGCCGCGAACGGGGAGGTGCTCGGCCGAATGAAGCCTTTCTCCAACAGTGCAACAATTTGTCGGCGTAGTTCCTCGAGTTCCGGCTGGGTCAACCGCCACTGTGTCCGAACAGTAGGTTGCGCGCCAGGTTCCAGCTGGATTTTATGGTCTTCGGGTCTTTCGGGTGGCAGCCCAGGTGGCAAATCGTCCGGGAAAATGTCGGGGTACCGTCGAATTAGCTCCGCTAAATCCGGAGGAACAGCTGCACACAGCTTTTCGATGTCCTTTCCGTCGGTGTCGACTGCCAACTCGCGCAAGCAGACGGCGAACAGCTGCGCACCCCTGTTGAAGTGGTGGGCGATGGTGATGGCTTTGACGCACGGGGCTTGTATGTAGTCAGGTGTCCATGCAGGCAACTTAATTAGCCCCTCGTGCTTGCTGACGCAGCACGATCCCGTTGTCCAGTCGATGACGGGGTTGTGTCGTCGCAGCCAATCGCGTCCCAGCAGCACGTCGCAGCCATCCAGCGTCGTCGCGAGGAACTTCATGCTGAAGCCGAAATCTTCGCCGCACTCGATCCGCACCGTCCGTGTTTCTTCTGTTATCGCCAGAGGCGTCCCATCCACGAGTCGTGCGTCGATTTCGGGCAGACACCTGTCAAGTTGCATGTTGCATTTTTTTGCGCTCGCCAAGTTGAAGAGGCTATGGCTGGCCCCTCCATCGACGAACATTTTCAAATGATGTTTCCCCACCTTGCCAGCGACCAGCACAGGGTGATCCACATGATTATCCCCGTTATTCGGCCGAGTGCGATCGATTGCATGAATCGGAACCACGACTCGGTGGGGATGGTGGTGTTCGGGCGACGGAGCATAGTCAGTAAAGGGCCCGTTACTTACTGACTCTTCCCATTTCCCTGCTCCTTCCTGTCGTTCTCTGTCAGCGGCATTTTCTCCTTGCATTCGTTCTTCCAGTGACCCACCTTCCCACACCGGAAACACTGACCCTTAGGAGGGCGGTCGAATGTATGGACGGCGTTGATCGTGGCCCGATGGGTCTGGCCACGAAAACCTCTCCCATCCCTGGAAGCCGTTCTCGCGTACTGCATCAGCGCATCCGTTGACTCTGCCACGCGTACTGCTTCGAGGAACGATGTCGGGCGGCTGCGGCGAACTTCGAACTGTATCTCGTACTTAAGGCCGCTCACGTATTTATCCAACCGCTCAGCTTCCGACATGTCATCGATTTGGTCGGCGAAGCCCATAAATGACGCCGTGTAGTCTTGGACAGATCCCATCTGCGACCATGCACGCAGCTTCATGCGAGCTTGCTCCGAGGCGGATACGTGCTCGAAGCGATCCCGTAAGGCTGCGCCCCACTCCTTCCATGTGCGTATCTTGGTCACACCGAAGATCGGTTCTGCAACTTGATTAACCACTGTAGAGGTCCCGTCTGCCGCATGTGTCACACCTGTCGACGTCCCTGTTTCCAAGGTCCGGCGCCACCATTCAAGTGCTGCACCTCGAAGAAGCGAGACTGCGTAATTAATGCGCGTGGCATCGTCATTAACTCCGGCTGCAGTGAAGAAGACTTCAACCCCGAACAGCCACCCCTTCACTGTAGTCGTCTTGTCCGTAGGATTAAACGGGGGCGGGTTGACGGGCTTGATCTTGATCGTCGTAACTGCAACTGGCGCTGCCGCCGCTCGCTGCCTATCTTCTTCTTCGAAGTCGCGTGTGAGCTCGTCCAGAGGATTGCCCATCACTTGACTGTTGCCCTCCCCTTCATCCACAGGCGACGTCTGACGCGCTTCACCTCGCGTCCGGCGTAGCTCGGCGTTTTCCTCCTTCAGTGTTGTCACTTCCGCTTGCAGCGATTCCATGCCCCTCGCCATTTCTGCCACTTGCGCCATCAGTCGGTTAACAGCCTCCTGATCCATGTTTCTAGCACTACGTCTGGTGGGCAGTTGGGTACCCGTGGCCGCCCGGCAAGTGAAAACACGAACTATCGGAGTCGGGCAGGGTTGAGTTAACAACCTCTGCAGCCAACCGTCGTGTAGTCACTAAACCAACCACACCCTATGCCACCAAACTACCCTCGAAAAGCGGGGTGAACTAGGAAAGTAGCTCTGATACCAGGTGTTATGAGTTGTAAAAGAGAGTACGCAGGTAAACGAATAACGAGACTGTGACTGAATGAATCTGAGAATACAATGAATGCGAGAACTGATGTAGGTTAGCCTAGCTAGGAGGAAACCTCGGGCGAGCGAGGTTGGGTGCAGGTTTGGCGATGGAAATGCCGAAGGCGACGCGAGGAGCTTCGGCAGCGTGGAAATCGCCCGAACGTGCGAACTCCGAAAATCGGGTTGTACGCGCAGCAGTCAACCCCGATAAGGAATTCGAGAAAATTCCTTACAACGCCTCACATAGAAGTAGCCCGTTACTGCTCAGAGTCACTTATTCTCAAAATGGTGTTAATGTATGTTATGGCTATACTCGCCTAAAGGGTGCAAACCAGAATAAACTGCCTTATACCGTAAAAGCAGTTTCATCGATACAAATCATAATACTTTCCAGTATGAACATCAGTGCCACTTCCAAACCAGTTGCTAGCACCAGATGCACTGTCCTTTTTAGAAGCGAGTCCACTTTTTAGCACCTGCCAAATTCAAAACGAAGAAGACAGCGGTTAAACAACGGAGCAAACAAAACTCAACCATCATAAGATACACACGAGCAATCAGCATGTTTCTGATGTTGCGAGGACACAATCAAGTAGCTAACTTGTGACTGGATTAGCCATAGCTGCCTGAAACGATAAGCCACGCACACAGCCGTTCAAGAGCCAAGTTCCTCTACAGACCCCTAAGGCAGCGAGCATGCACTTGTGAGCAAGGTCACCAAGTGAATCAGGGATCCGAATTTTCAAACAATGATTACACATTGAATGGATGAACAGCACAGATCAGGGTTAGGCTAAGAAACAGAGGTTAAAATTAAGTGTGGACAAAAAATTTGAACAGACAAAAAAGCTTCAACACCTCTAACCTTGCCTCAGTCGAAAGATGGTGATTATGTTTGGTAAATCAGAGACAGGCTCATGAATTGGAACATGTTTTACATCACCGGCAAGTTGCTCTGCGAGACTGATAGCTCAAACAAAAATAGCAGAGGTTACATAGTGAAATGTGGGAGCGACCACATTCGTGGGACAAAAAAAAGAACAGGTTTGGTGAGGAGAGCAGTCAGCTGGTAGTGCATGTGAGTATTCCTCATTGTGTATCAGCACAGGTCTATGAGTTTAATCATCATGCTGCTCAGACCCATGGCGAGATAAATGATCTCCATAAAAGGGCGGAAACTTTAGGCTTGAAGAATTAATTGCCTCAGTAAAAGTTGAAGTTCGGTGATTGTGTGCAATCATAGGCGTGCTCAGGAGTTTACGGAAATAAGAGCATCACTGGCAATATGGCTCCATGCAATGGGGAAAACCAATGAGTTGCAAAAGGTGAAGAAAAACCAGGATCGAGGTGTTTTCCCACCTCAGCAGTCAAACAGCAGACAAGGAAACGTTTTAACGGACTCGAGCAGAGGGTTAGACACAGGACCAGAAGGCCCATTGGCAAACAAGAGTAATGACTGGAGCAGTCAGCTGGTAGTGCATGTGAGTACTCATCACTGTGAATCAGCACAGGTCTATGAGGTTGATCATCATGCTGCTCCTGACGACGACCATACTGATTTCCGACATACCAAACAATAGGCGCGGGGAGCACGACGTGCCTGAAACACTAGAGCTGCTGCTTCAAGCAGCAACACAGGGTTACGTCGTCAAGCATGCTTTGACCCGTAAAAAGAATGACGTTCAGGAGGGCGCGAAGTGGAGGGGGCTCGAGAAGGAATTATTTGCCTCAGTAGAGTTGAAGTTCGGTGATGTGTGCAATCACAGGCACGCTCAGGAGTTTACGGAAATAAGAGCATCACTGGCGAATGAACCCACCGAACAATGAGTGGTAAAACCGAAACCTGAAAGCAAGGAGCACCCGACTGGGGTCGAGGTAAGGTGGATCGCTCTTGGCACTGACCTGTGTGTGACAATCATAACACGGAGCTGGTCAAAGGTCCGTCCAGCCTTGTCGATGCTAAGACCCTTGGGGACAAGAGCCGAAGTCAGCCAGATTTCAGGCCACGTCAGCGGTACTGAAGCCGGATCAGCAGCAGGAAAGCCAATTCCACATCCGTGAAAGGGAGTCAGAGGCAGGGAGGCCGAGTCAACGCCAGTCAACGCCATTCAAACGGGTCAGCAAGGGTGTAGGAGAACCGCATGGCGCTATCCGCTGCTTCCAGGATCCTTCGCTTCGCATCCAGGTAGGTGAGATAGGGCAGGCCTGGGTCCAGCATCCGACTGAGAGGCAGCTCCAATGGCTGCAGCATGCAAGTACCATCCACGCACCATGCAAGAACCAAGCACGCAGCCAGGAACAAACAAAAAAGAATCAACAGCACAGACCCAGCATCACCAACCAAGCCCCCAGCACCAACCAAGCCCCCAACACCAACCAAGCCCCCAACACCAACCAAGCCCCCAACACCAACCAAGCCCCCAACACCAACCAAGCCCCCAGCACCAACCAAGCCCCCAGCACCAATCAAGCACCCAGAACCAAGGACGCACCCAGCACCAAGCAGGCATCAGCAAGCGTCACATCCCAGACCACACACGAGAGAAAGGAGTGCACTGAGCTGAGTGAAGCAGCCACAAGTAGTAAGAGATTCCAAACGTAGCTGAGTGGATAAGGCTTTGGGGAGAGGTGTGGGACAAGGGACGGTAACAGAGAAAGAACAAGGAATCCCCTGAAGTTGAATGCGTATTCCTCCTCACTTGAATGGTAGAATCCCTCTCCACTGCTTTCGCAAACTCCCTCGTCTCTGTGCCAAACCCCGTCCCCCGCGGCCCCCAGTAGTGGTGCATGCGCAGCTGCGCGGGATCCGCGCGCTCAGTTGCGCCCACGGCCATGGGGAAGAAGTGCGGCGCAACGCGCATGTCCGCCCACTGCTCCACCGCTGCCACGCGCACGATTGGCTTCGAACGCTGCAGGTGCTGCCGCCAGTCCGCTAAGTGCTGGCACTGAGTAAAGCGGCGGAAGAGCAGGGAGGACCGAGGGGCTTCGCTGTTGCCTACGAAGAAAATGTTTGGCGCGAGGACCTGGAGACGGGTTCAAAACAGTTGGAGGGAGGCAGGGGGCATGGTATAGAACAGTTGGAAACATCGGACGAGGGGGGGTCGAAGAGGAACGAGAACAGGCATACAAGGACGCAGCATAAAGAAAAGAAACGGTGAAAACATCGGACAAGGTAAGGGGAGGGGGGGTTGGGGGGGGAAGGAGCGGGGCAGGCAAGCAAAGAGAGCAAAACGGAAAGAGATGGAGACATAGGCCACGCTTAGGCAGTCAGATGCGCGCAAGACGCATACCTGGGTGACTGAGGGATCCGACAGAGACACGTTGCGCATGAAGCGGAAGAGGAAGCCCGCGCGGAGATCCCGAGGGTCGAAAACGAACTCGTCGACGTCGCAGAACAGCACCCACGTGGACGCGTTGCGATACTCCTTGAGGTAGTGCAGTATCGCGCCGTTCTGCTCGGGAAAGACGTTGTACGCCGCGCTGAGAACGCGGTGCAGCGGGAGGTAGGTGAGGTAGCCCGCGCGGATGAAGGGCCCGAGGGCTCCCGCCTGGCGTTCCGAGGCGTCGTGCGCGCAGTCGTACCAGAAGACGTGCTCCACGCCGGCCAGGCGAGTGAAGGCCACCCACTGCAAGACGACAACACCAAGCATGCATTTCACGCCGGGAATCATCCAGCAAGTCACCGAACACAACCCATTCACACCACACCAGACCAGCAAACCACACCGAAGGGAGAAGGTCGTGAGAGAAGGAAGGTGCCAGCAAGTAAGGGCGGCGAGCAGATCCAGGAGGGTAATTCAAATAAACGGTATCAACAGCGGGTGTGGGGATGGGGAGGAAGAGGGGGGAGGGAAGGGGGGAAGTTGCAAGGGAAGTGAAGAGGAGTGTACGAGATATTATAGGAAGAGCATGCGCGGAGGCTTACCTGCCAGATTTCAAAAGATGAGAAATTGAGACGGTCGCCGCGGAAGACGCGATTGTACACCATGGCGGAGAGAAAATACTTGGGAGAGGTCGGCACTCTCCGAGAAGCAGGCAGACCAGATGCTTCGACCGTCATGTCCCCCGAAGCATCGCTCAGAAGCTGCCTCGAAATGTCACCAGAAAATGCTTGATCCGTCGAGTGCGTTGTGAGTAAATCCAGGTTCCCGGCAGCACCGCCAGCCTGATCTGGAGTCTCCTCAGATTTCACCGAGTTGGCAATTTCAGCGTCCTCAGCGCCGTCAGTCACCGGATCACGAACTACCCTGCCGTCTGTTACCGCATCGTTTGGAGCAGCGCCGTCCACCGTTTGTGTTTGCGTCTGCAGGCTGTTCTGCTCGCGCAGGTGCTGGTAGATCGGAGGCTCGTCCCGGCGAATCACGGTCTGCTCCGGCAGAGGCAGAGCGGCCACAGGCGGGTGAGCGGGTAGATGCAGACCCTCTGGCTCTCGTCCAATGGCCTCGAAATCAGCATCGCTCGCGGATCTGAACATGCGGTGTGATGAGAGAAGGTATATGCCAGACTGAAAAGCAGATTCGAGAAATATATCAGACGGACTAGATAGAGCAACAAAAGTTACGGAATTTCGCGGAAGAATTTGAGAAATCCTTACAGTGTGGGAAGGCGTCTGGCCAATGCATCAAGCCTGATGCGAAGATCCGCTAGAATTGCATTGGCGCGGGAAAAATCCGCTGGACTCGAGCCGATTTGTGCAGCAAGTCCTTCGATGTTACCGATTCGTGGCTGCGGTGCGATGCCTGCCTGAAGAAAATGGAAATAATTAACTTACTAAAGAATACCAGATAAGCAGCATGCGACGAGAATCAAGAGAACGGACGACATGGATAAGACTGATAAGGAACGAACTGATAACGGTCGAAGGCTTGCAGAAAGCTTCACCATGGCATTGTCGCCGACGCCTGATGAAGCCTCGCGAAGGAACGGCGCTGAGAACCGGTACGCAAGATGCTGCAGAAGCATGGTGGTCATGACGCCTAGCAGCACGTTGAAAGAGAAGCGTAGGTGCTGATGCACGATCGACGGTCCACGTGACGTCCAAGCCGGCGCCATAGCAGATGCAGATGCCATCGTGGCTGGCAATTCGGGTCTAGAGGCGAAATTTGAAATGGTGCATGTTCGACAGCATGCTTACTACTTCGCAGGAATCACGACGACGCGATGTGAGGAAAAGCCTAACGACACGCATCACCTCGTGCCTTCTAGCGATGGACGGTCTTCAGCTTACGGAAGCTGTATACAACGCTACCATTTGAGATGAGGACTAGCAGTGCTTGAAGAGGCAAAGCCTCAGCGATGGAGGCCCTCGGGAACAACCCTGCGATTTCCGACGTGACGGGGGCATGTAGGGAATACCGCGTGGCTGCAAGCCTGACTGGTGGTCACCTCCAAGATAAATGTAATATTGGTGAACTGTAGAAAATGAAGGCAAAACGACTAAAAAACGTTAGCATGCTGTGTAACCAATAAAATTTGCATCACTTCACTACGGAAAAAAGTTGTTAGCAATATTACCGTATCAATCTTTTGAGCATGACATGCCTCCATATGTTTGAAGGTTGGGCTGTCATGCTTGACTTAACTGGGTCTTACTGCCCAGTTTTACACAACAGACTGCTCCACTAGTAGATGTATGTGACGTAACAACCTAACAATCAGATCCATGTGACATGCCAACCATGCCTACCGTAACGCAACAGTTTCCATAGTTCGGCGCCTGCGACGACGGCTGTATTTGCCGTCAAATGCTAAGGAAGCGCATGGTAATAGGCCCAGACAAGCGCAGCCACGTGGCTCGGAGTTTGAAAAAACGCTCGGAACGAGCGCTTCCAGCCCCAAAACGCACAAGGATCCGAACATGCGCAGGAAGTGCAACGGGCGCTCTTCATTCGCGAGCGCCGATGACTGATGATGCTCGCAACCCTCCCACGCCCTTGCTGGCTTCGTAAAAGGCCCAGACAAGCGCAGCCATGTGACCCGGCGGAAGAAAAACGCTCGGAGCGAACGATTCCAGCAAAAAAACGCGGAATGATCCGCACATGTGCAGGAAAAGCAGTGGGCGCTCTTCATTCGTGAGCGCCGATGACCGATGATGCTCGCAACCCTCCCATGCCCTTGCTGGCTTGGCATAGGCCCAGACAAAGCGCAGCCACGTGACCCGACAGACGAAAAACCCTCGGAATGAGCGCTTCCAACCCCCAAACGCATAAGGATCCGCATATGTGCGGGTCGTGCAATGGGCGATTTTCATTCGCGAGCGCCGATGACCGATGATGCTCGCAACCCACTATGCCCTTGCTGGCTTGGTAATACGCCCAAACAACGCAGCCACGTGACCGGCAAAAGAAAAACGCTCGGAACGAGCGCTTACAACCCCAAAACAAGGAAGGATCTGTACATGTGCAAGAAATGCAGCGGACACTCTTCATTCGCGAACGCCGATGACCGATGATGCTCGCAACCCTCACACGCCCTTGATGGCTTGGTAATAGGCCCAAACGCTCGGAACGAACGCTTTCAGCCCCAAAATGCAGAAGGGTCTGCGCATGTGCAGGAAATGCAGCGGGCGCTCTTCATTCGCGAGCGCCGATGACCAATGATGCTCGAAACCCTCCCACGCCCTTGCTGGCTTGGCAATAGGCCCAGACAAGCGCAGCCATGTGACCCGACGGATGTAAAATACTCGTAACGAGCGCTAGTACCCCCAAAACGCGGAAGGATCCGCAGATGTGCAGGAAGTGCAGCGGGCGCTCTTCATTTGCGAGCGCCGATAACCGATGATGCTCGCAACCCTCACACGCCCTTGCTGGCTTGGCAAGAGGACCAGTCAAGCGCAGCCACGTGACCCGGCGGAAGAAAAACGCTTGGAATGAGCGCCTCCATCCAGCCCCAAAACGCGGAAGGATCCGCACATGTGCAGGAAGTGCAGCGGGTGCTCTTCATTCACGAGCGCCGATGACCGATGATGCTCGCAACCCTCCCACGCCCTTGCTGGCTTGGCAAGAGAACCAGACAAGCGCAGCCACGTGTTCCGGTGGAAGAAAAACGCTCGGAACGAGCGCTAGTACCCCCAAAATGCGGAAGGATCCACACATGTGCACGAAGTGCAGCGGGCGCTCTTCATTCGCGAGCGCCGATGACCGATGATGCTCGCAACCCTCCCACGCCCTTGCTGGCTTGGCAAGAGGACCAGACAAGCGCAGCCACGTGACCCGGCGGAAGAAATTCGATTGGAACGAGCGCCTCCACCCCCAAAACGCGAAATGATCCGCACATGTGCAGGAAGTGCAGCGGGCGCTCTTCATTCGCGAGCGCCAATGACCGATGATGCTCGCAACCCTCCCACGCCCTTGGTGGCTTGGCAAAAGGACCAGACAAGCGCAGCCACGTGACCCGGTGGAAGAAAAATGCTCGGAACGAGCGCTAGTACCCCCAAAACGCGGAAGGATCTGCACATGTGCACGAAGTGCAGCGGGCGCTCTTCATTTGCGAGCGCCGATGACCGATGATGCTCGCAACCCTCCCACGCCCTTGCTGGCTTGGCAAGAGGACCAGACAAGCGCAGCCATGTGACCCGGTGGAAGAAAAACGCTCGTAACGAGCGCTAGTACCCCCAAAACGCGGAAGGATCCGCACATGTGCACGAAGTGCAGCGGGCGCTCTTCATTCGCGAGCGCAGATGACCGATGATGCTCGCAACCCTCCCAAGCCCTTGCTGACATGGCAAGAGGACCAGACAAGCGCAGCCACGTGACCCGGCGGAAGAAAAACGCTCAGAACGAGCGCTTTTACCCCCAAAACGCGGAAGGATCCGCACATGTGCAGGAAGTGCAGCGGGCGCTCTTTATTCGCGAGCGCCGATGATTGATGATGCTTGGAACCCTCCCACTCCCTTGCTGGCTTGGCAAGAGGACCAGACAAGCGCAGCCACGTGACCCGATGGAAGAAAAATGCTCGGAACGAGCGCTAGTACCCCCAAAAACGCGGAAGGATCCGCACATGTGCACGAAGTGCAGCGGGCGCTCTTCATTCGCGAGGGCCGATGACCGATGATGCTCGCAACCCTCCCACGCCCTTGCTTGCATGGCAAGAGGACCAGACAAGCGCAACCACATGACCCGGCGGAAGAAAAACGCTTGGAACAAGCACCTCCACCCCCAAAACGCGGAAGGATCCGCACATGTGCAGGAAGTGCAGCGGGCGCTCTTCATTCGCGCGCGCCGATGACCGATGATGCTCGCAACCCTCCCACGCCCTTGCTGGCTTGGCAAGAGGACCAGACAAGCGCAACCACGTGACCCGGTGGAAGAAAAACACTCGGAACGAGCGCTAGTACCCCCAAAACGCGGAAGGATCCGCACATGTGCACGAAGTGCAGCGGGCGCTCTTCATTCGCGAGCGCCGATGACCGATGATGCTCGCAACCCTCCCACGCCCTTGCTGGCTTGGCAAGAGGACCAGACAAGCGCAGCCACGTGACCCGGTGGAAGAAAAGCGCTCGGAACGAGCGCCTCCACCCCCAAAACGCGGAAGGATCCGCACATGTGCACGAAGTGCAGCGGGCGCTCTTCATTCGCGAGCGCCGATGACCGATGATGCTTGCAACCCTCCCATGCCTTTGCTGGCTTGGCAAGAAAACCACACAAGCGCAACCACGACCAATGGAAGAAAAACGCTTGGAACGAGCGCCTCCACCCCCAAAACAAACGATCCGCACATGTGCAGGAAGTGCAGCAGGCGCTCTTCATTCGCGAACGCCGATGACCGATGATGCTCGCAACCCTCCCACGCCCTTGCTGGCTTGGCAAGAGGACCAAACAAGCGCAGCCACGTGACCCGGTGGAAGAAAAATGCTCGGAACGAGTGCTAGTACCCCCAAAACGCGGAAGGATCCGCACATGTGTAGGAAGTGCAGCGGGCGCTCTTCATTCGCGAGCGCTGATGACCGATGATGCTCGCAACCCTCCCACGCCTTTGCTGGCTTGGCAAGAGGACCAGAAAAGCGCAGCCACGTGACCCGGCGGAAGAAAAACGCTCGGAACGAGCGCCTCCACCCCCAAAACGCGGAAGGATCCGCACATGTGCACGAAGTGCAGCGGGCGCTCTTCATTCGCGAGCGCCGATGACCGATGATGCTCGCAACCCTCCCACGCCTTTGCTGGCATGGCAAGAGGACCAGACAAGCGCAACCACGTGACCCGGCGGAAGAAAAACACTCGGAACGAGCGCTAGTACCCCCAAAACGCGGAAGGATCCGCACATGTGCACGAAGTGCAGCGGGCGCTCTTCATTCGCGAGCACCGATGACCGATGATGCTCGCAACCCTCCCACGCCCTTGCTGGCTTGGCAATAGGCCCAAACAAGCGCAGCCACGTGACCCGGTAGAAGAAAAACGCTCGGAACGAGCGCTAGTACCCCCAAAACGTGTAGGGATCCGCACATGTGCACGAAGTGCAGCGGGCGCTCTTCATTCGCGAGCACCGATGACCGATGATGCTCGCAACCCTCCCACGCCCTTGCTGGCTTGGCAAGAGGACCAGACAAGCGCAGCCACGTGACCCGGTGGAAGAAAAACACTCGGAACGAGCGCCTCCACCCCCAAAACGCGGAAGGGTCCACACATGTGCAGGAAGTGCAGCGCGCGCTCTTCATTCGCAAGCGCCGATGACCGATGATGCTCGCAACCCTCCCACGCCCTTGCTGTCTTGACAAGAGGACCAGCCAAGCGCAGCCAAGTGATATGTTGGAAGAAAATCACTCGGAACAAGCGCTAGTACCCCCAAAACGCGGAAGGATCCGCACATGTGCAGGAAGTGCAGTGGGCGCTCTTCATTCGCGAGCGCCGATGACCGATGATGCTCGCAACCCTCCCACGCCCTTGCTGGCTTGGCAAGACGACCAGACAAGCGCAGCCACGTGACCCGGTGGAAGAAAAACGCTCGGAACGAGCGCTAGTACCCCCAAAACGCGGAAGGATCCACACATGTGCACGAAGTGCAGCGGGCGCTCTTCATTCGCAAGCGCCGATGACCGATGATGCTCGCAACCCTCC